CCTACTGTAGCCCCAATTGAAAAAATCAGAAACACTTGCCTTTAAACAATTTGTCTTTCTAAAGAGTTGAGTCATTGACATATTCACCTTGAGGCAAAGGTTCATTCAAGATCTCTTCAATTTCACCATCTTCACTAATTTCTCTAATTTCATCATCTGCATATGTTGAATCATCATCTCTAAAAAAACCCTCCAGGCCAATTACCAATTCTTTCGGATGTCATTATGCTTGTGAAAATTAGATAAAATTAGATAAGACAAAAATTATAAAATAAAAACTCATTATAAAGTCATTTTTTGTAAGAAATTGTTTAATAACAAGTATTTCTGATTTTTTTTCCAGGTCAATTACCAATTCCTTTATGCTTGTGAAAATTGGATAAAATTAGAATAAGACAAAAATTATAAGATCAAAACTCATTATAAAATCATTTTTCTGTAAGATTGTTTAACTTTCAATTGGGGCTACAGTAGGGTGTTTCTGATTTTTTCAATTGGGGCTACAGTAGGGATGACAGAGAAAATATTGGAGTGAGAAAGATGAAAGAGAAAGGGTTTACAGGAATGAGAGAGGTGAGTAAGGGTTTGGGGTTTCGTTTTTTTTTTTTTAGTTTTGAGAATGAAAATTATTAAAATACCCTTAACCTTAGAACTTAAAATCCATGGTATATAAAGATATTTTTGTCTACTAAAACCCGGTACACATTGCTAAAATGTACCAACTGAAAAACAGGCGTACGCGCGTTAGCAAACCCCTATATATATATATATATATAATACATAAAAAAGCTTAATACGGTCTTAATTTTCTTACTTGTTTAAAGTCTTCATTCTACTTTTGAGTTGCAGGTCTCGTGTTTCGTGTTTTGTAAGAATGACGTAAATTGGTCATTGTTGACAGTTTAAAAACGTTAACCATGTAATATTCACTTTAATCCATATTGAATGACATATTTAGTTATTCATTAAGGGTGTGTTATTTTGAAAGAATTTGGGGGAGATGATTTGGGGGAGATAATTTGAATGGATTTGAGTGGATTTGTGGGTAATTTTTTTGTTGTTTTTTTGAGTGGATTTGTGGTTAATTGAGAGTGGATTTGGAAGTAAAGTTTGTGAGAATTAGTGTAGGATTTGATTGATGTGATAGATTTTAAAAATTTGTTTAATTGGTAGAAAATAAAGATTACCAAATTGCCCCTACTTATAAAAGTATTATAAAATGTTATTTTGTAATGTTATATTTAATTGTAAAAATGTTTATAAAGAGAAAAAAATTATGAAAAATTATTAAAATTAATATTTAAAAATTATAAAAAATATATCGTAGTAAAATGAATGTATTTTTAAACAGTTTCTTATATGAATACACCGACAATGTATAAAATAATACTTTTACAATGCATAAGGTCATCCGTTTCTGCATTCTCTAGTCAATTATTCATCTTTCTATAAAATTTGTTTTATTCAATATACATTTTCTAAATCAATCCTCTCTTATCCACGTGAACAGAAAAATCAGTTCAAACGAACAGAGCCTAAGTGAAAAATTTATGTGAATTACCCTTAACCTTAATTAAAGTTTTAGATACCTTTGATTTCCATTTTTTCAAATAAATCTAGCTGCATGGGTTCCTCGTTACGTAAGGAGACACTCTCCACTTTTCCTATTTTGGTTCTATTCGCATTAGAACTCTGAATTAGAGTTCTGTTTGTAGGATTGTGATCTCGCGACGTTGAGTTTCATTCCTTATATTGGATTTCTGTTTTGTTTTCTCTGCAGGTTGGTGACGCAATGGTAGATGTTTTTTGTGATACTATGATTTGTGGATTTTAGGATTTTCATTTAGGATTGAGGGTTCTGACTTGGAAATTTCTTTTGTCTTGTTTCCCCTTTGCAGATTGTTAATGCGATTTGGGGTTAGGATTTTCGAATTGGGGGGTTTTGTTTTCTGATTTCACGTTTTAGGATTATCTGCAATTGTATCATGATCTTGCACTTTTGGGGTTCTGAAAATACGTGATATTGAGTTTTGGGGTTCTTTGAATTCGGTTTATGAAATAAAGCTTTGATGGGGATTGCTTTTAACCTAATTATAATTTTCTTTTACTTTACGTCAATAACTTTAATTTTTAATACTTACACAGATAATTGTCGTGAGCTTACCATGCAATGAATAATTGGACATGTCATTATTCGTTAATGTGGATTCACAATCAACTTAAACAAGTTTTACGAAAATGAGGAATCACTTTGAACAACTAAAAAGTATGATACTTTAAGCACAACTAACAAATTTATGACCAAAGTTAGTACTAAGCCCGTAAAAAACAATTAATTTTAAAAGGATTACCTGAAAGATTAAAAAAGTTTTGATAAATTTATTTTTAATCCTAAACATTATAACATTTTTACTAGAAATATTGTGTACTTTACTTTTTAAACATTGTCCCAAAAAACTGATTGTAACTAAAAACAAATATATCCAAGCAGGAAACCCACTTGACATTATTAGTCTGAAAGGGTTAATAATATATTTAACATATTTATGTTTTTATTGATATGTTTGATATACCACATGTCATATATTGACATATTTAGAGTTAAAACTTAGTAGTTTTTATATTATATTTTACATCTTTTATTTTGTAACAGGTTTTAAAACTTAGTATTTGTATAAATACGTATTATCCAAAGAAGTATACAACATAATTTCAATTTAAACATATAATGATTATAACATAACTATAATTATCTTGTTAAGAATTAAAATTTTACTTAAATTTTTATTTTGATATTAAAGATAAATGTCTAATTAGAAAACAATTTTTTTTATAATGTATATATTTTAATATATTATGAAACACAAAATATTTATGATTAATATTTTATATATATAATAATTTATTATGAGATTTTGTTATATATTTAAAATATTACGAAATATTTTTATAATATTTATAATTAATATCTTATAATATAATAATTTATTATCTAATAAACTTGAAATATTATAATATAACAATTAATTATATAATATCTTGATGATATAATGATTGATTAGGGATTGTGAGAAATTTGTGTGATTTTGGTTAGGGTTTACGAGAAAGCAGAGCTTCCAGTTTCGGTTTCGAACAGGTGGGGGGAAAATGGGAAGAAAAGGTGGAGGAAGGTTTTTTGAAAAATCTCTCCGTCGCCGTATTGAGATCTGCACGTCCAAATACTCCACTGCCGAAGAAATCGCCAACCATCTCCGTTCAACTTATCCCGATTACCACAGAACCAAACAACAAACCCTAATTCGGTTTGTTCAGGAAGCTATTCATTCCATGGAGAAGCTGAATCACACTCCCACGCCTAAGTATTCAGACGACGGCAACATAGAGTCCCAACGCGCGTCTCGAAAGCGTAAGAAGAATATTGACGAAGGTGAAGAAAGGCTGAAGAAAATGGAAGCTTTACACGTGCGAAGGAGGGTGCAGAGTTCTTCGGAGAGTAATGACGAGGAGAGTAATGATGAGGAATCGGTGTCGGAGGACGCAATTTACGGTGAGAAGTTGGAGCCTCAGTTTGATTTGATGAAGGAAATGCTAAGGATGTCATATACGCCAAAGAAGGTGGCGGCAGCAGCAACGGAAGAAAAGAACATTGAAATAGAGATGGGTAATATAAGTAAAGGCACGGAGATGGGTAATATAAGTAAAGCCACGGTTCTGAATGAGGTGGGAGACCCATCTCTGCTTTCGGTTTCGGTTTCAAACGGTGAGGGGAAGAAAGATTGGCCTAGATTTAAGGATTTTGGTGGGATGAAAGAAGTTTTGGAGGAACTAAGAGAAGAGTTGATTGTACCTTTGGTTCATGGTGAAATTCTTAGAAAATTAGGAGGGAAGCCAAAGGCAGTTGGCATTTTATTGCAGGGTCCACCTGGATGTGGGAAGACCACACTTGCTCATGCTATAGCTAATGAGTCAGGTCTTCCTTACTATCGGATTTCAGCTACTGAACTAGTCTCTGGGGTATCAGGTATTAACATTTACTTCTTTGGATATTAACTTCGTGTTCTGGACAGTTCAATAGTTCAGTTGCATTTTTTTTACTATCCTTCGTTATATATAACTTCTCTCGCTTGTAATTTCTTTACTTTAATGCATTAAGTCTCTGGAATAGTGCTTACTTACATTGCCAGAGAAGTGAAATTTTATAAAATATTGTGATAAACAGTATCAAAGAATTAACAATATCCCATACACTCTGGTTCTGCATATTATAGTTAATTATGCTAATTCTCACGTTTGAGTTAGTTAAGATAAAGTGAATATGGGTTTTTTGCGTGGTTAGGTGCATCTGAAGAAAATATTAGGGAATTTTTTGCTAAAGCTTACAGAACTGCACCTTCTATAGTCTTTATTGATGAGATTGATGCAATTGGTTCTAAAAGAGAGAATTTGCAGCGGGAAATGGAAAAACGAATGGTGATGCAATTAAGCACTTGCATGGATCAATCAACTGCTGATAATGTTATTGTAATAGGAGCTACAAATAGGCCTGATTCTCTTGACCCTGCCTTAAGAAGACGATTTGATCGTGAAATTAGCATTTGTGAACCTGATGAATCCGCCAGGAAGGAGATTCTATCTATTCTTACTTCTAATTTTAGATTTGATGGTTTATTTGATCTACATGAAATAGCCAAGTTTACATCAGGATTTGTTGGTGCTGATTTGGTAACTCTAGTTGATAAGGCTCTTCGATGGGCAACAAAGAGAATAATTAACGAAAGAACGAAGAGAATAATTGACCAAAGGAGACATGAAATACCTGAACTCATGAGCGAGCATATTGAAGAATGGCGGAGGGAACCTTTGTCCACGGAAGAATTAGATGAGTTTGCCTTCATCAAAATCTCCGATTTTGAGGTGCTTTGATTTTTGTCCTTGTCTACCTATTATTATTTGTAAGAATATCCTAATTGTCAAGTACTTCATCTCGTTAATAATTTATTTACCTGGACATTCATGCAGCAAGCATTAAGAAAGGTACAACCTTCATTAAGAAGAGAAGGATTTGCTAGCATTCCTAAGGTAAAATGGGAAGACGTTGGGGGGCTTGATCATTTAAGAAAGGAGTTTGAACGATATATTGTAAGGCGTATAAAATATCCTGAAGATTATGAGGTAAACACATTACGGCCCATTTTTAAAATTGCAATTGCATCTTCAGTTGAATTTTATTTCCTTTCCATTTCTCTTATTTCTCTTTTAATATTGCAATGGTTTTGAGTAGCTCTAATGTTAGGATTCAATTGCATGACCTGGGACTTGAGGACTACATTGGAAGTATGAGATTGGGGTATTAGGCGTTGGGTTCTCATATTAAATGAAATTTTGTGTTCTGGATAGATTGTTTAATATTTCTTTATTATGGTCACTCCCTTCCCTTTGCGTTTGAACAGAATTTGTGATGGAATAGGTTATCATGTTTTATAATTTTATTCTATACAAAAAGGCGGGTGATTGCTCAGAATTATAATTATATATTTTGCATGTTAGGGCGTTGCAATGGGATAGGATGTATGGAATAACATATAGTTGGTATTACACTAATATATATCGGTCTTGGATGCACTTCATTGTCTATGTATATAAGTATACAGTGAGTCTATAATTGGGTTACTGTATATTTTATTTCTTAATTTCTCTTTGGGCTAAAACTTTGACTTTTGTCTTGGCATAATTGTATATCACTCATTGCTTTGTCATGTATTCTTTTATTTTAGGCACTTGGGATTAATCTCGAGACTGGATTTTTGCTTTATGGACCTCCTGGTTGTGGTAAAACATTGATTGCCAAAGCTGTTGCCGGTGAGGCAGGGGCTAGTTTTATCCATATTGAGGTCTGTTTAAATACTCCCTGTTTCTTATTAATTTTGGTTGTCTTGTTTTGAATATGCATTTTTTATAAATGATTAAATTGCTTTAATTGCTTTGGTGTAATTATAGGGTGCCCAACTTTTAAATAAATATGTTGGGGAAAGTGAGCTTGCCGTTCGAACATTGTTTAGCCGTGCAAGGTCATGTGCACCATGTATAATTTTCTTTGACGAGGTTTGTGACTGGTTATCTTTTTAATAGTTATTTTATCATGACATGCCAATTTGATTTTGAATAGTGAACTAAATAAAAAAATAATATGAAGTATGTATCTTATGTTTTTGTTTTGTTTCTTATTCATGGTTAAGTATTTGTCTTTCACTCTTTCACATATTATTATTGTGATTGGGGCTTAAGCAGACTAGTTAGGTTAAGTTTGTTTCCATTATTAATTTCCTTGGTCTTCGAAGGAGCAAACAACTTGTTGTATAGCATATACCTACGAGTGCTAAAGTTTATTTTTATGCCATTTTCAGATTGATTCATTGACAAAAGAACGTGGTAAAGAGGGTGGTTGGGTTACCGAGCGACTGTTGAACCAGGTCAAATGATTAGTAGTCTTTTGTAATGAGAAAAGTATAGTCATTTTAACTGATAACAAGATGGAAACATGACAGTTATATGAATTTGCAGTTGCTTATCGAGTTGGATGGTGGAGAGCATCGACACGGTGTTTTTGTGATTGGTGCTACAAATAGGTACACTTTGTTCATCTGTTCTGAAAATAGTTATTTCATTACCCATCACGTCATATTCTCATTTTTGCAGGCCTGAGATGATGGATCGTGCTCTCTTACGGCCGGGTAGATTTGGTAAACTTCTTTATGTTCCTCTACCTGGCCTTGATGAGCGAGTTTTGATATTGAAAGCTCTTGCAAGGACTATGACAATTGATGCCACTGTGGATTTGAGTGCAATTGCCAGAATGGAAGTTTGTGAAAACCTAAGTGGCGCTGATCTTCGTAAATTGGTTTGTCTATGCTCTTTATTGATGTCGCTTCTTTAATGCTCACATCATTGTTGTATATTGTGTATGTATGTATGTTTGTTTGACTATTGTTGGGACAAACTTGTAGTTAGGATTATAGGAAAAGAGGGGAGTTAGTTTGGGAGATACTGATTGTATTGGCTATACAGATGAGTGAAGCGGCAATGGCTGCTTGGGATGAGAAAGATAAAACTGTCAAGAGTATTCATTTTGAGATGGCACTAAGTAAAATCTCGCCGTCAGTGTCTAACAGGGTACGTCGTATTCCTCTATTTTCATATGCATGAAATATGATGCCTGGTGGATAAATTAGTTAATAGAAATTTTCATTGATTTATTTTTATTTCTGGAACAGGAAAAGCAGTATTATCAGCACTTGTCGGAGAGGTTTAAAGTGGCGTGAACAACATGCCCTGGTTTTCAATTGAGTTGTTCATTGATCGTTTCCTTTGTTTTAAATTTATATCTTTGTTGTTTTTCATTTTTGTTTTACGGTGTAGATATGTTATTTATCACAACTCAACTATTATATAAAAAAAATTATAAATTCATTAGTTTTGGGTTAGAAAAATATATGAATCTAAATACCAATAACTCAATATTCATTTTTATACATGAGTAATAAGTTTTCTCAGATCTTACTTAATCTATCCTGTAAACTTTCCTACGTTCTTAAGATATGGATAAAGAAATAAAAGTTTTTCTCGTAAATTTTTTAAATTCTTTGTATTTTTTTTTTCTAATTTCAAAATAACATATTTTCATGATGATAAAAAACAGTCCATGAATAGTTAGATTTAAAGTAGATTCCAATCTTTGAAAATAATATATCTCCCCTTAAAAAAAGTGACATCTCTAAATCAATGACTAAATGAACTGTATTTATACATGTATTCAAGGTATACTTACTCATTTGAGTGATCAAATAAATCTAATCTTTTTTTTATGTTTGTATTTGTAATGGTTGTACAGTGATTTATGTCATTGTTAGTTATTATCATTTATCAATTTTGTTATAAATGGTGTTAGATATATAAAAAGATAAATATTAATTTAACATAATAAATATTAATATATTTTGTTTTAAACATAATAAGAAAAAAAGTATTGTAAACTTTTCAATTTTTATTAAAACTCTGATATTAAATAAAGTAATTAAATATATATTTATTTTTTTTGTTAACTATCAAATATTTATTAGTTATCCAATATGTTTATTAAACATATATGTATATATACATATATACAGATATATATATATGTATATATATAGATATATATATGTATATATATGTATATATGTATATATATAGATATATGTAGATATATGTATATATATATGTATATATATATGTATATATATATGTATATATGTATATATGTATATATATATATATATGTATATATGTATATATATATATGTATATATATATATATATATATATATATATATATATATATATATATATATATATATATATATATTACAATGTACATAATTTGCTGGTGTGTCATTAAAATTAATTTAAAATGTTTCATTATGTATTTTTCAACTAAATTTTTTATTACTGTTGTACAGTATTATCAAACAAATATTTTGTGTTAGTGGTGTAATATTTTTATTTCATTAAAGAAAATTAACTTTCAATTAATTTATTAGGATCGGTTATTTTGTTAGATATTGACTATTAATAAAATAATTAAATTACATGGAATAAAATATATAATTGTAAAAGATAAAAATAATAATTTTGCTGACTTGTTTCGATACTTAATTTTTTTTTATCACACACACTGTTTTTAGAAAAAATAGTTAACTCAAATTTTGTACAGATAATTTAAAAGTAATTAAACATTAGTTTTTTATATTTAAATAATATCAAATATTCTAAAAAAATAATTCAAAAAATATAAATCGATTATATATTTTTCATAAATTAAATTTATACTTCATTAAAACTTCTTAAATTATTGTTTTTTATACTTTTTACATTCTTTTAAATTAAAAATAATCAAATAATCCACATTATAGGTACTAATTAACACCTAAAATATATCCTAATATTAATGTATATTTGATGTTATGATTTTTTTTTTCATTGTAGGGGTTTTATTTGATTCAGTACAAATTAATCAAATTTTCAGTATGATGACACTTACAATTTAAACAAGAAGAAAAAAATGTTTTCATTCTATAATTTTTTTCCCCTCAAAATGTAAAGATCTGTTGCTTGACGACAAAGGAACTTTTCTTTATCCTCAAGTAAAGAATGCATAATTATTAAATTCAAAATATAAATATTTCATTCTCTAATAAACAAAAAATGTTGTATAGAATTATTAATTAAAGAATACGGACCAAAATGTGCCATTTCAATTTTCCAACTATAAATCTAAAAAATGTGTTATCAAAATGTTTTAGTTAATATGGTCATCAAACGTATTAATTGATCATTAATGATATTTACCTTTTCTGATAAGTTTGTCCGGTTGCAAGGTATAGTTATACTTATTTTTTTATTATACTTAAATTATATTTAAACTTTAAATTATTATAAAAAATGATACTTTATTTTTAAATTAAATTATAAAATATTTTATCCTTACTTTATGAAATAAACAACATATAAAAATTATGTTACAATCCATTCTCTTTATCACATAAAAAATAAGAAAATGTTTTACTTTTATATAAATATTTTATAATTTAATTTGAAAATAAAATGTATTTTATCATAATCTAAAAAAGAAAAAAGATATTCAACACATATATTTATAAGATTATTATTTTAACATCAACAAATTTTTATACACACTTTTTTTTATAATGTTAATTTTTTTTAATGATGTTCTGAAGTGGTTTAAACAAACATTTTCCATATTTATAACATTTGTTTGTTTCTCTTTCAATGATAGAATTTTATATTCTCTCTCCGTAGACTTGACTTGGCAACCACTTCATTCATCACAAAGAAAGGATCAAAACAGAAGTCAGTGTAAGTCATGGTATGCCGTATTCATGGAGTTTCTCAGATCTTTGAAGAAAGAGGACATTTTGGATCTCTTTTCTCATGGCTTCTGTTTCCACTGTCAGACCCTTCTCCATTCTCGGATCACAACACTACGCAAAAGTATCAAACACTTCATGCTCTTTAATTTCACTTCTTGTTAGATTGGTCCAGTGCTGATAATTCATGCATAACTCTTAGCTACTTTTGTTTTTATAAACATACCAAAACAAGTTACTTGCTTTTGCTTCTGGACTTTCAATTCAATTTCAGTTTTTGTGTTGATTTTTTTGTAATATATTACTAATGGATATGACACATATGCTTATATTGGCTAATGGGTGTCTATGGTAATCGGTTATCTATGCTCGTAGGAAAGTTGGATGAAACTTGCTCTTCGGAAGAAGGCTTTGAGTCTTCTGGTGACCATGTTGTGGAAATGCCTTTCAATGTTTCAAATTCAGAGTCTTTGAGTAAAAGAAATGAAAAACAATGGGATAGTCCGAAGAACTGTTCAGAGAGGCGTGATTCTGCTACTTCAAAGGATGACGAGAAACGCGTTTTTGATTGTTCTTCACCTGGGAATTTGGTGGGCTGCAAGCAATCTGATTTTGAGATTTTGTTAAATGATGGGATTTGTGAAGGTTCTTCGTTTAAAAATGGGTTATCTGATGAAAGAAAAGAGCGAATCAGGTATTCTCTGGTTTGCAGAAAGGACTTTACCTTTGTTGAAAGGATAAATAGGAGACACATAAATGTGCTCCAGGGGCTTGAACTTCACACTGAAGTTTTCAATGAGCTGGAGCAGAGGAAAATCGTTGAGTGGATATACAGATTGCAATGGAGGGGTCAACAAGGGAAACTTAAAGGTGATTCAGTCCTTTGATTTATCTGTGAACTACATTGTAGAACTTTAGATTTTCATATTTTAGTTTTTTTCAATAAAAACTCCCATGTTAAGCATAATTAACCTGCTGAAATCTTAAACCTTTCATAAATCAACTTCTGGGTAAGGACCACATGGTTCTTCCAGAACCTGGTTGGGAACATCCTGCAAGTCAGAAACACAGTGTATGTTCTTGCAGTGCTAAAATTAGATTTAAGATTCCAAAGTTTATGAAATGTAGAATTAAATGTGCGCTGAATTCTTCCTTTAACATGGTTCTCATCTGACTGGTTTAACCTGAGTAGTACATAAACCATTTTTTGTATGACTTCAACATAGATTCAAACTGACTTGATTCAGAATTCATGTAGTATATATTCAATAACTGTACACTCTAAAATCTCTTTAACCATGTTCAGTTCAAGGTATGGCAAAGATATTGCCTCTTATTCAGCATATAGCAATCTGTTTGTGGGAGTAGATACTATCATTTAACATACCTCAAAGTTTACTTGAACCACTTGTATTTGTATCAAAAAAATATCTCTACACTGGTGAAAAGTGTCTAGGTTTTGTATCTTACATGTACTGATCTTTCTCGTGTACAGATCGAACATATTCAGAACCAAGAAAGTGGATGCGTGGTAAGGGACGTGTGACAATACAATTTGGCTGCTGTTACAATTATGCAGTGGTAGGACATAATTTGCTCCTTTTCTCATTCTTATTTGACACTTTTTGCTTATTTACTTTTGTAAAACACTACAGAACAAAAGTGGCAACCCTCCTGGTATAATGAGAGATGAAGAAGTTGATCCAATACCACCTGTGTTCAAGCACATTATAAAGAGGATGGTTAGATGGAATATAGTTCCTTCCTCATGCATTCCAGATAGTTGCATTGTGAATATATATGAAGAAGGCGATTGCATTCCTCCTCACATCGACCATCATGATTTTGTGAGGCCATTCTACACCGTGTCATTCTTGAGCGAGTGCAAAATATTATTTGGTTCAAACTTGCAAGTTGTTTCTGCCGGAGAGTTTGCAGGTCCTACATCCATTTCTTTGCCTGTTGGGTAAGCTTCCATTCTCTCCTCTTCACTTCCAATCTGATATATGAATGAACTTTTGATCACGCTCTCTATTTTTCCTTCTAGCTTTGTGTTTCTGACTTAATACCGTGGTTGTTTGATTATTTTTACAAGTGTTTCGGATAATAGGGCGGAGAACTACTCCTTCACACTTTGTTCTTCACTCCGTTCAACTTGTTGTTCTTCTTACAGTAGTTTATTGTTTCTTCTTCTTTAAAATTCGAACTAAGCGGATGAGTATATGCTCGAGTCAATTTTAGTTATACCAATCAGTTATCATAGTTAAGCATTAAATGTTCAATAAATGTCATCACTTATTTTTTTATCTTATCTCTATTTATAGATTTTGAAGTGAATTTTTAGTTAGAGTTGATCTAACTACGACTCAATATCTCGTAAGTATGTTTTATCTTGTTAATCATGTTGGGTCTGTGATCTTTAATATGAAAGGCGGACTGATCGATTAATGAAATTGGTAACTAATCGGTCTATGTTATCTTGGAGGTTTTAGAGAATTGATCGATCGCTCTTTGTAATACGTTGACCGGACGGTCTTTACGATACAACAAACTATGTATTTATCATTCTTTGGGCAAACTAATGGCCATTTTGATCCTGTAGGTCAGTGTTCGTTTTGAATGGCAATGGGGCTGACATTGCTAAGCACTGTATTCCATCTGTGTCATCAAAAAGGTTCTTTTAATCAGTCAAATTTACTCAAAATTCCTTTCTCCTGTATTACTGTATCATATTCTAAAACATTTGTCTTTTACAGAATTTCTATTACTTTTAGAAAGATGCAGCCGAGCAAGTTACCATATAAGTTTTCACCCGATCCTGACTTAATGGGAATCAAGCCACTTGTCTTTTCATCTCTGAACAAATCAGATAAAGCACAAGACGAAGTTAGGAACCTAAATATTCAACAACAACACAAGGCTGACAGTGTTGAATCTGAATCAGACATAGCTTGGAACACCAAGAAGGCATCGCAATGGAAGATTTAGAAAGATGAAGATCAATAAATGCAAATGTTTATGTTTAATTTTCTCTTAGCATTGTTTATGTTTAATTTTCACAGGGAAAAACTATCAAGTCTGTCTTCTGGATGAAACTCCAAATAAAGAGTTATTCATCCCTGTAATATATTGTTTGCACATAGACTAAAGAAGTCAAAAATAATATTATAATATAGAAGTAAACGTAAATGAAACTTTATAGACTAAGTTATTACTGAATATCACTTTTTTAAGGATGTCCAAAAATAACATAAAGGATTGATGAAGACTTTTTTCTATACTAATAAATTAAGAAATCCATACTTAATTAATGAAGACAATGGCTAACATAATAATTACACTTCCTAGAAATTTTTCTTGTATAGTAGATTAATATTCCAAGTTTACAAACACAGAAAACAAAGCCTCAATTATTAAAGCAGATGTGTTTTTTCTCTATCAATAGACGTGTGCTGTCATGCCATCATATGTGCAACATTATTTTCTAAAGTCGACATATCACAAATTATACATTTAATTTTTTCCAAAGATGTAATATTTAAGAAGTTAAGTTGTGTGATAGCTATGAGAAATCTTGACCAATAATACAGAATTGAAATAATATAATAAAAAATTATATTTAATAATTGTTGATTAAAAAATAGTGCATTAACTATAACTATAAAATAAATCTTTGTATTTTAAAAGATTGTCTTTCGTTTTTTTAATTATTGATTAAATTAAAACTAAAATTTTCATTTATTTCATTTTGAATGTAAATATCGATGTTGTTTTTAAGAAATTCAATTTTAAATTTATTTTGCAATCTTCTTTTGATAATCTTTATTACAGAAAATTATCTTTCTATTATAGTTGTAAAATACAAAGAATTAAAATAAGAGAAATTAAACATATGAGAGGTGATAAATAAGACCATAAATCGTAAATGATTTTGTATTTAACTTTTGTTGTTTTAGAAGCAAAAGAAATATGACAAAAGTGAAATGAACGCAAACCATAAATAACTTTAAAAAAATAAAAAATATTTTAATAAATTTTTTATTTTTATCATATATATATATAAATGAAAATCATATTTTATAAACTAATTTTTTATATTAAATTTAAAGTTTATTTCTTAACATACCTTTATAATATTAAAATATAAGTTAAAATTTGTGTTTGGAAACATATCATTTTACTCTTATGGGATCATTCAATAATATCTTGTTCCACGTAGAAAGTTAGATTTAAAAGTGTAGTTCAAACATATGCATGAAAAGGGATTAAGTTAATACAATAGTGGTTAGGTTAGGTAGATATAAGTATCGTTTGGGTAATATAAAAGGAATATGATAAAGCAAGGACGCATGTTGTAGCCCACAGAGAAGAATCAGGTTCTGCAGTGGCCTTTTGTCCCTTTCGTGATGTCGCATATAAGATTAGACACAAATAGGTTTTGCATTGCATGGGATTTTATTTTATGAATTTAACTTTATTGAAAAGAAAAGCGAATTTAAACTTTGAAGGGAAGTGGGTTTACATTTGAAAGTGATTAGTGACAACTAATAACTTATTTAGGAAAGGACGAAAATAAGAATAAGACATTGCAAGGAGACAAGATGATTATAAAAGACAGAGAATGTGTGATGGTTGAGGTGTCTCCATTTCAGGTTGCTCACTGACGCTATGACAACTGGTACAAATACAAGGGGTACTGTTCATATATACTGTTGAAGTTTACGCTAAATATCTGAAACTTTACTAATTGAATTTAACTGCTTCAATAAACTAAGGTGATCGTTTGAATAAAGTAACCTGACAGCCAAAATCTCTTCCAAAGAGAATCTAGCTAGGTGATATATGAGAAATCCTGAAGCTTTATTTCATTAACTTTTTAATATGGCAGGGTGGTTGTCGGCTTTAGAATGGATAGAAGCATATCTGACAAGGATCTGGGAGCTCTTGTAGAAGCATTTTGTTTTGCAGAGGTTTTAGTTTTAGTTTTGCAGAGGTTTTGATTCTTGGGAAGACTTTTGGATTGATAATATCGATCTTCTGTGATCATTCCAAGGTCAGTTCGGTGGTTACTATTCTTGTAATGAATTAATGAATTATTGCAGTTTGTTTACTGTTCAATTCAACTTGTTGTTTCATTGTTATGTGTTCATCTCATCAGATCAATCAGTGAACTGTTATTGGATTATTGAACTAATTAGCCCAGTTGGCATATCTGGTTCAATATTAGTTTATCTATTTTTGTGCAGATGGTAAGTGCAAGTGGGGTTACTTTAATTCTACATTCTCTCTTTCTGTATTGAAATTTGACTTTTTTAACTTCTGATTTAGTTTTCTGGACTGGATCTGATTATTATATTCAATTTCTTCCACATGAGGCAAAGTATACCTACAAAATCCATAAATAAGCAAGAAGGAAAACATTATATGAAGATGATGTGATTTAGATTTTCTGAAGTTTTAAACAGACTGCATGAAACTTTAGCTAGAGAAAGCCTTTCTAGATGTAAATATAATGTAACAAATATAAAGAATTAGATGTACACCTGTACTGCACCATCTAGCAGTCATTTTGAATCTCTGGAGGATCCGAATCTAAAGATACGAGACAATAAAAAACCATGATTATGTAATATTTCTCTCTAAAGAGACTTTCTGTAAAAGCATTTGAAAAGAAAACTCAGAATCTGAACTAATATATGAAAGTGTACTTCTCTCCTACTGAGACTCATTTATGATGTTTGTGCATGTCCCAGAGTTCATCATCAATAAAGTTTTGAGACTAGTGAAAGCAGATGAATTTCCTTGTCACAGAGCAGCATGCTTAACCTTTATGTAAAAAAATGGTACATCTTATTCTCATCCTAATACTGATCTAGAACAGAGAAACACAGTGCAATTCATGGAGCACAATGGAAGGTGAAGTTCATGAAAACTCAATTCTCTGCTGCATTCATCTTGTGTTCTGTTTCTAATTTTGGACTTTAATTTTAGCATGTGGAATGATTTCACTGTTTCTTGGAAATTGTAGATTTGATGAGAAGTCCTTTTCAAATGGGGATGTGTACATGGGTATGATAAAGGGAATACTGCCCCATGAGAAGGGAAAGTACACATGGTCAGATGGAACAGTGTACGAGGGTGATTGGGAAGGTCAGAAAATGACAGGAAAAGGACTGATTGTGTGGTCAACAGGAGCACAGTACGAGGGTGAAATATGTGGAGGTTACCTACATGGTTATGGAACACTTTCAACATCTGCAGGGTGCAGTTATAGAGGGGGATGGAAGATGAATGCTCAGCATGGGATTGGACTAAAGAAGTATGCCAATTCAGATATGTATGAGGGTTTATGGAAAGAAGGAGTTCTTGAAGGTAGTGGAAGGTATACATGGAAAAATGGAAATATATATGTTGGGAATTGGAAAAATGGGACAATACATGGTCGAGGAGTTATGAAATGGGTTAATGGAGATACTTTTGATGGTTTCTGGTCAAATGGGGTTATGCATGGATCAGGAGTTTATAATTTTGGAGATGGAGGTCTTTATATAGGGACATGGAATAAAGGATTAAAGGATGGAAAAGGAGTGTTCTATCCAGCAGGTAGTAAAAAACCATCCCTAAGGATATTGCATAGCCCTCAAGACAGTGATGATAATGGTTTCTTGCTGAATATACAAAAACATGAGGCTCCAAAAGCTAGAGTTAAGCGCAGCCTTTCTGCAAACATTGCTGTCATTAGTAGATTCAAGAGTTTCCGTCAAATATCTCATAGGACTTCCTCATTGAAAATAAATTTGATCCGTAATGATGATTCTGCTCAAGACTGTGTATGTCAGGATTCTTCCCTTTCATTATCCAATGACTTCGATGAAGATCAATCCGAGGCATCCGTTAGAAGCACTTTGGTTTATGAAAGGGAGTACGCACAAGGTGTTCTGATTATGGAGAGAATCAGTGAGTGCTCTGAGTCATCACGAAACAGAAAACAGCAAAATAAGTTTAGTGTGAAGCAAGTAAACAAGAGTTCATGTTTGGACATTTTTCAAGGCCGGAGAAGCTATTATCTTAAGCTGAATTTGCAGCTTGGCATCAGGTAAAGTAGCTAATCAGACGTTTATAGTGACCCCTTTTGCATTAATTTTGGACAATTTGGTAGCTATGTTAACATTAAAAGTTGTCGATACCATATTTTGAAGTACCTTATTGTGTGCCATATGGTGTTTTTTGTTGAATTACATTGTCAAAATGCTCAGGTATACTGTTGGAAAAATTACACCAGTGCCTGCACGCGAAGTTCGATCATCTGATTTTGGGGATCGAGCTAGAATAAGGATGTACTTTCCACGGGCTGGTTCAAAGCTTACTCCACCACATTGTTCGATAAACTTTTACTGGAAAGATTATTGCCCTATGGTGTTCAGGTATCTATTAACTTTATTATCTACACCATGCTTCCATAACTTCGAAATCAGCAGAGTGCACTATACATTTGACTCCTTTGCATATGGCCACAATTTGATTGATTTTATGAGAAAATTATATGATCTCAAAGCATTCTACCTGTAGGAATGAAGGGTAGTATGTAGTAATTCATGCTCCCTCTAGTATGTAGCTTTACATATATTTTGGTCTTTTCTTCGTTCTTGGCATAATTTCACTAGCCTAAATTTCCAGGAATTTGAGAGAGATGTTCAAGTTAGATGCTGCAGACTACATGATGTCCATCTGCGGAGACAGTGGTCTAAGGGACTTATCTTCTCCTGGAAAAAGTGGCAGCATCTTCTATCTCTCTAAAGACGATAGGTTTGTGATTAAGACTGTGAATAAATCAGAACTAAAGGTTTGTTGTCCCTAAACTTAATTTTTCTGGTTAATGTTAAATTTATAAGTATGAGTCTAAGTCCCCGTTAGATAGAAATGAGAAAGTTAAACATAATATAAGGATGAACATCCATTAAATCATTACTTTAAGGTTTTTGGTAAAAGGTAATGTCAATCTCTTATGTAATTGAGTTCAGGTTTTATTGTTGTAAAACAATAACAAAACAATTTTTTTGATTAAGAAGGATGTCAGACATGTTTATATGCATATGTTTCTTTTGGTGCAGGTTCTGCTTAGGATGCTTCCTAAATATTATCGTCATGTAGGAGATAATGAGAATACTCTTATAACAAAATTCTTCGGGCTCCATAGAATAACACTAAGAGGTGGCAAAAAGGTATCACCTATCACCTATCTTGAACTTCTTTTCTCTTCTTTCAAATTGAATAGATATATATTTCCTTATTTTGTTTAGCAGGTCCGTTTTGTGGTCATGGGGAATGTGTTTTGCACAGAACTACAAATCCACCGTCGTTATGATCTGAAAGGGTCTTCACAAGGAAGACATACAGACGATGATAAAATCAACTGCAACACAACATTGAAAGATCTTGATCTAAAATATGAATTTCATATGGATAAAAAACTGCGAGAATCCCTACTCAAGTAAGTTGCTCCTAAAAATCAGTTACTGTTAGTGACAAATGTGCAAAGCTTTTGTTTGTATAACTGATGAATATTATCTGATAAAATTGGTAAACTGTTATCTTTCACATTGTAATCAGTAACTTGTCATAAAATTTATCATGAAAGATTTGTCAAAAGATGCCACTTTTTTGAGTAAATCTTCTGCTTAATGTCAGTGGAAAAACTATTGCTGGTAGAATTTCAATTCATGTTGAATAACTACTAATTAATTCTACTTTGTGTGTACATATCAATAACCTGTACAATCTGAAAATCAAAATGCTAACATGGATCATGGCATGTGTTGGTGTACTCAGTTACTTATCAATTTTAGCTGGGTGTAATGGTTTATATGTCATGAAAAATGTATCATGGCAAGTTGACGATTGCATTCAACATCTCACTGACTGCATACTAGGCACAAATTCACTCTCTAATCATAACCAGAATTTCGTTTTCTGGTGAAGGCAAATTTCCCTAGATTGCAAGTTCTTGGAGTCACAGCATATAATTGATTACAGCCTTCTGTTGGGGTTACATTTCCGGGCTCCAGAAAATATGAAGGCCTTCGTGGAACATCATGAATCAATGCAGAATTTACCTTCCGGAGATGGTAAGTACTCACTAGTGTATATGAATTTCTCTATGAACAAAAAGAAAAGAAACTATATTTTGGTATATAAATCTTAGTAAACTGACATCTTATGTGTATAATTTTGTGCCACTATGTACTGAAAGAAGAGGAACACTTGATTCTACCCAAAGGCTTGGTATTAGTTTCTCATGAACCAAGCATAGTCAACACAGCACCTGGACCTCACATTAGAGGGAATACATTGAGGGCATACTCAATGGGTGATAGTGAAGTTGATCTTTTACTGCCCGGTACTGCAAGGTATATTATAAATCTCATATCGACTAGAAAGACAAGGCCAATTTATAATATATAAGAGATAAGGCCAATTTATAATATATAAGTGGATCACATATCATTTTACAAGCCAATTTTGTGAAGTTGAGTTAGACTTAAAAATTCACTTCTTAACATGGTATCAGAACTCTTTATGTTAGGCCTATCCTAACGATATTTGTTGTTTGTTGGACAGTGTACTACATATTATTTCAGTGGTTGCCTTGTTTGATTGAGTTCTCATTTTGTTACTCAGGCTGAGGGTGCAGCTTGGAGTAAACATGCCAGCTCAAGCTACTAGGAAGATTGAGGAGGATAAGGTGGCAAAAGAAGTAGAGCTTTTTGAGGTATACGATGTTGTCCTCTACATGGGCATAATTGATATATTGCAGAGCTATAATCTGAAAAAGAAAATTGAGCATTCATACAAATCACTCCAATTTGACCCTATGACAGTATCGGTAGTTGAACCCAAAATGTATGATGAACGTTTCCTCAAATTCTTGGAGGAAAAAGTTTTCCCTCAGACCCCCTGATAGTTATTTTTGGTTTAATTCTTCTTTGTAAATTAGATGTTTCAAGGGAAGAGTGTTTATTTTTTTTTTCTCTGCTTCAATCTCATTCCTGTATATACAGTTTCTTTGCATAATTCTCCCAGAATCACTTCTGTTAAGCACTTCCAGTTCATACATTACAAAAACTTTGAAAGGAATGTGTCTTCACCATAAGACTATTCACATACTGATTCATGTTATTATCTCTTTTCTATCTCTTGTTTTAGGCAAGAAAGACATATACATATAATACCAACAATGAATATTAAACAATTTCTCAAATTGGTTCTAAAATTTTTTGCAATAGTATTCTTAGTTGTGGTTTTTCCTTTTGTCTTATTTGACCATCATTTTTTTTTCTGCATATAATTAATTTAGATTAATTCAGACAGCATTTTTGGCAGTAATTTGGAAATGGGAATTCTCAAACACTGTTGTTCCATTAATTTAAGATGCGAAGAGACTTTTTTAGCAAACTAAAAATTTGAATATAGCAGCAAGATACAAAATAATTTCAAATTAAACACATTATCTAGTTGAGTAGAAGGGACTCAGACCATAAAGCAAGTGATATATGTGATTTTTTAAAGCAAACTTTCTAGAATCATATAAACTGATCAAATGTACATAAATAAAAATGTACATAATTGATCTAAATAAGGATTTTGAGTTTTTAACACTGTTTTTAGTCCACAGTTTTGATTTGGATTATTTGAGAAAAGGAATAAATAAAATAAAATTAAAAAGAAAAGTTGAGAAAGGAGAAATAAGTAAAAATAAAGTTAAATGTTTAGTTATTTAGTAAAATAATTAAGAAAATGTTTTAAAATGATACAACTTAATAAAAACTAAAAATATAAACATTAATACAGTCATACAAATTATTTCTTCTTTTTCTTCTTTCTTTGCATGTCTCCTGATCATCATAAATTTGCTCATTTTTTTATTTCTATTTCTCACCATTCTCACCCATTTCACAGCCTGTAGAACTATTCTTAGGGAAAACATTATTAAACTTTTATGAAAAGCACAACCATGCAGAATTCGAAATCAGCACATAACTGAAAAGAAATTAACTGAACCATTTGAATAATAAAATGATTTTCTGAATGAATTTTTCTTTTAAAAAGAAAAGAAAAAGAGAGGGAGAAGGGTTAGATATGTATATTCTTGTCTTCATGTATAGAAAAGATCCAAACATATATTTGAATTTTGTATTCAGAAATGGTCAGAAAAAAGAAAGAATCAGATTCAGTAATAAGAAATGATTACACAATTATCACATGGTATGTCTCAGCTGCACGGATCGGCATACATGTAGCTCAGATATTCGTACATCTCACGCTAAAATAAGATCAAAAGCAGAATATTTTTTCAACTCAACATTGAAAATATTAGAAGACGGTGCATTCATTTCGAAAAGAATCACAGGTTTCATATATAACATGTAAAAAATAAAGTGAATTAATCTTTTCTTTTCTTTTCCTAAACTTTTTCTATCTAAAAGCTCCTGCTTTCTGAAACCTGCGTTCGCAGAAGAATAAGTACTTTTGTGAAAGGTAACAACATATCCCTGTGATGTACCTCATCACTTGAAGGAAAATGCAGCATCAGATTCTTATATGTATCATATAGTATTATTTGTTAGGTTTATTGACAAAAAGATTAATCGAAGAGATCAGTGAAATTTGAGTTTAATCACATAAAAATAGACCAAACATAATGTTAATAAGATTTGAGTCTAATAATATAAAATATTATAAATTTGTTATCTAAAATTTTAAAATAATAAATCTAAAATTTTAAAATAATAAGTTAATAAATTTTTATATTTATAGGTGACTTCATTTTTTTTATTCAATATTAAATTAGAATTCACATTATTTGAATTTTTAACATTATTCGATTCTGTTTAAGGGTTAATTAAATTAAATTTTTCAAGTGAATGAATTTGGTTATTTTTATATAAAACTTCCTGTATAATGAGTGAATCCATCTTCTCTACTCTAGTTTAAATGAATTTACATGCTTATGAGGTAATTAATTGAGGGGCTTGAATTTCAGTTATGTCCATAAGAAGATTATGTTGCTTTAATAGTCAAACTTAATTTAATTTGTTGAGAGATATGAATAGGTCATATCATGAAAGTTCAATATAATGTAAATTTTCTAACATATGGAGATAGAAAGATCAATAAGTTTGATCAAAATCAATATCCGAGGCAACAAAAAAAACTATAACATGTTTGATCAGAAAATGAGAATCAAGGATTCTAAATTGCAGAAACCTTGAGAACCGTGCAGATAAATGTTACCATGTGTGACAGCAACTGCAAAGACTGTAAAGTCATATTAGAAATTATATCCTTCTTCCACCTTTTATACATTGAAAGAAGCAAAACACTAAAATTGAGGAGAAAGGTGAAAGGAAAATGTATTTCACACAAATTTTGTTCCAGATCCATTTATCTCGACTTCATGCATATCTTCAATGTACAGCTTAATCTCTATTTACCTGTTGCATATAATGAAAAAGCAAGTTAGCTAAACGAAATTAATAGAGGAGTCACTAATAAATACCACTACAAATAATTACGAAAAAAAAAGAAGAATGTGAAAGAGAAAGAAAGTATGTTACCTAAAAAAGTACAGCCAACTACTTCCATGAAATGAAACTCATTGACAACTACAAAAGATGGTTGGGAATCTCAAACCCTAAGATGCTATAGCTGGGAAAACCTATATACTGACAGAATACAGAATTTCAAAGCTCCTTGGGTTTCTCAAAACATATTATTTAACTTAAAAAAACTGATATCAATCACTCACAAATCATTATAGAAAAATAAATTACAAAGATTTGAAGTCTGATCCCTTTTAGTTAGATGCAATCAATAGCACACAAAATCTCAAATTTGTTAAATTAAATCACAAGAGAGATGCTGAAGAAAAAGAAGATATATATGGAACCACAAGAAATATATATGGCAAGTAAAAGCACCAAGTACTAGGTCAAAAGACATCCTTTTAATCTTAGTTTTGGACAAATGTTTAAAAGTTTTGTCGCATGCAATGTCTGAATTCAGAAACACAAACTGTAGAGTTTCTCATCATTGGGCAGACAACGTCAGAGAGTTTTGCTTCAGCCTGAAACCGCCATGAGAAAGAGAGAGATCAGGTTAACGGGAATGAAGCCTGGTCCGAGATCACACGATGGGTAGCCTCAAAATCCAATCTTTAAAGCTTTTCTTCCTTTCAAAGTTTCAAAGATTGAAACCCAGAAATTAGAAGCTTCAAAAGATGAACAAAGGCAAAACCACCTCACCCTCATGCAGATTCCTCGAGCCAAACAACATTCCCATCAACCCCAATCTCCCATCACCAGCCACATCTGAGAAAAAGATAAAGGAACAAAGATCTATATAGGCATAGCCACGTAAAATTTTGATCTGAAAAAACCATTGTTCTCATCTCAAACTCGTTCGAGAAAGAGCAAGAGAAAGAGAGAAGAAAATGGAACAAAACGTAACCTAAAGCAAACTGTGAGAAAGAGAGAGAGAGAGAGAGAGCAAAAGCTAAGGAAACTCTCACCATATATGTAAAACCTAACCCTTCATTTTTTTATAACTCACTCACCTAATATACATACACTCTCTCTCTCTCTCTCTTTTACATTTTTTCATCACATATAATATATATATATATATATATATATATAACATATAGATACATCCAAAAGATGTATATGCATGATAGAAAGAATGTGAAATCAGCATTTGAATATAAAACCTAACCCTTACAGTTGGCACCAGTGATACAGAATGAGAGAGGCAAAGATTAAGAAATTGTTAAGGAGGCGTGATTAGGGTTCATATTTCTCTCACTCTTTCTTTGATTACTTTGGCATCTTTTATAAATATTCTCTCTCAGAATACAGCCAAACTTAATTTGGAAGGAAAACATGTTCAAATATTTATCAAATCTCACTTTCCTGTTTGTTTTGGATTGTATGATATTGTGATGGAATCTCACATATTTAAAAACCTCGATCTTCTCAGTAATGAATTTTATAGCATGATTTGAAAAGCAGAATAGATGAATTTTATATAAACGAGTATTGATACAGAGAGAGTCAACTGATGGAGAGATGAAGAGGAATCCTTCTCTCCTTCAATTGAATTGAGTCACTGCAACCACTGTCACTGTTTTCTGTCATTGGACTTTGTGCTTTACCTCAGTGTGGGCCCCCCAGGGACCAAACCCTATTCCACCTATGTTGTCTCCTCACCTGCTTCCCTTTCACTCACCCACCCAATTATATGTTCATCATCATACATCAATTTCTATGTTTTTTTTTTCTTCTTTTAATATTGTAACATCCTTTTATTACCTTACTTTCCAATTTCAAATAGATCTTCTTTTACTTTTAATTTTTTACATTGCTTTCTATTTAAAATAATTATGTAGAAAATATTGAAAATGGTTTTATAATAGAAAAACATTTAATTATAATACAAGTTTTCCTCATTTATGATAGTTTTTTAGTAAAGAGAGAAGTTATTAAAAAGAGATTGCATAGACATGACTTCAATCTAATTCAAGTAAGCAACTAACGTTATTTCTAACTTAAAACTTCAAAGTGTTAGATTTATAGGATTTTTAGAGTTTATTTTTGTTATTATTACTTAGATTTACATTTAAATTATTTTTAACAATTTTCATGTAAGATTTTAATTATCATATAAATTAGTATCAACATGACTATGTATATTTTTTTTGAAGTTTGCAATATATATATATATATATATATATATATATATATAT